AAAGACTAGTGACAGGGCAATGGGAATTATGTGAGTAACAAGAGCTGGCTAGCCAGGTAGGGAGAAAAGCATCTGCAATATGCAAGGAAAATGAAATGCTGAAGGACCAGTTTGCATAACTCAATTGGGATAGTCTTTGAATAGTTTTAGGAAGATGTTGCTTCAGTTTTTGAGATGTAAAATTTGTGCCCTGGGGAGTCATATCCTCTTACTTGAGGCTCATATCCAGCTGACATTCCTAGAGCTGAGTAGCTCTGCCATCCCTCTATGTTCAACCATTTAACAGAGAACACAATGGGAGGAAAGAGGAAAATGTCCATTGGCCTTAAAGATTACACATCAGTGCATCGGCTAGCCTTATTTGCATTGCTTATAACCAGTTGATGGGAGAAGGAAATGCCATAACCAGCTCTAGGCATGTCAGTGCATGGAAACAAGACTCAATTTAGTTAATGCTGAAGCAACTGTTTTGCTGAATGCAAAGGGAGAGCCGCTCAAATTGTCTCCTACATCTGCTGAGGTGTGAATTTTAATCTGTTGTTTCTAATATTATTCCATATCTGGTTTTGATGGCCTTCTGGGCTTATGGGATACTTAAATTTTTGTACTATCTTGAAGTTGAATGAGACATATGTTATGGCTTTGATCTATATGTTTCTCAGTGGTCTCATGTATGCAGAGGTAGCGCTTTTGGGAGGTGATAGAATTATGGGGCATTATAGCTGACTTGCTGGTTGGTGGGGTCTGATCAGGTGAGCAAGTTGCTGAAGGCATGACCTGGGAGGGTGTATCTCCCTCTCTAGCTTCTCCCTGTGTTCTGTATTCTGGATGCCCAGCTTTCCTTTACCCAGGCCCTTTTACCATACACTTTCTATGTTTGAGCCTGATGATCATGGACTGAAATTTCTGAAACATAAGCCAAAATAAACCTCTCCTCCTTTAATTTTTTGGCAGCAGATATTGAGTCCCAGCAATAAGGAAAGTAAGAATATGTAAGAGTATTTCTGGGCCTTTTAGGCTGTAACTAAAAGTAAGGCTAGAGAATTTATCAGTGTTCTTTCTGCTGTTACGGAGATTATGAAAATAGATGCTGAGATGGAGGATGGATGAAGTGGAAGTGACTCACAACTGTCCCCAAGAGCCATCTGGACTCACAGCAGGGACCTGCATGAACAACAAATAAGCCCGTGAATTTTGGGGAATATCATTACTATAACTTGTAAACTTATATTGACTGAAAAACAGATTTTCCTCAATCACTTCATCTCTGAATACCTTCACACTCACTCTTCACTGTTAGAGCCCATGCTTATATGTCCTCACTACTCTCTGAGTAATTTGTGAGGCTGAGAAAGTATTTTAGTCATCTCAGTATCCTTAATGCAGTATAGCACAAACCCTGGCCCAGAGTGGGTACAAAGGATATGTAGCCTTCATCTAAGTCATCTGACAGTAGGACTGTGGGGAGGCTGTTGTTCAAAATGAATTTTGCTTGGTCTAGGATCCTACTCTAGATGACATGCTGGTGGAGGTTTCTAATGGGTGGGGCTAAGTACAAGCAACAGTGGCTTTTGAAGACTGCAAAACCATTCTACGCCTATGTGCCACCCCTATTCCTTCTTTCTCCCAACTAGCTGAAAAAAGTGTCTATGTGATGCCCTTAGCCCACTGGAGAAAGCAGCCATAGTCATGACAGAAGTGGAAAATAGAAGTGGGACAGTACATCTGGGACATAAATTTTACCTTCAAACATTCTTGTATATAGAGGGCCTACTCCAACCTCTTCATGGTCCAGAGGAGTTTGTATTTGTAATCTCAGGGAAAAGTTAGTGAGTAAATTTCAATCTACCACTTCCAGTGCAATCCTCAGCAAGAATAAAGAGACCAACACACGTCTGCAGTTGTGAGGAACCAAGAGGATCCTAAATCTTAGAAAAATAGCTAACTGAAACAGAAACCCAGGACCCAGGACCAAACCCTGGTTTTATTAATTTACGAAGAGGGAAGTGGTTTGGGGTTGAGTGACTTTGAGAATGGAAACACGTACATGACTACTGTGCACTGGGCTGAGTAGGGGACATAGTAGCACTTCTGCAATATGAAGAAAGAGGTATGCAGAAAGAATACTGGATTCTGGTATCATATAGTCCTCAAGTTTGGAGGAATCTGCATAACATAGTTTAAGGAAGTATTTTATGTTTTTGGTTGTTTGCCTTAGTTTTGATGTCTGGCTTTCCTGCCCTATGACATCATGTTTTTTTTTTTTTTTTTTTTTTTTTTTTGTTTTTTTTTTTTTTTTTTTTTTTTTTATCAAGCTGATAGCATGGCATCTCTTGACCTAGCTCTCACTTAGTATTAAAGAGCTATAGGTGGGGCATCACTGACCTGTCATATTGCTTCCAAGTCACTGGCATCAGTACCTGGCTAGACCCATTTGCATTGCTTAAATCCATTGAGGGGCTAGAGTATTTTCTTACCCAGCTCTGTAAATGTCAGTACACAGAATTAGGGCAAGGGTTAGCCAAAACGGAGACAAATGGTCTTCTTTCAGCAGGGAGAGATGTTCTGGTACTCATCCACACTTCTCCAACTGTGTTACAAACAGAACTAGTTTAATATACCTATGGGAATGTTGGACTATTGTCCTGAAGGTAGCAGAATTTAGAAGTATAGTGGGAAATCTCAATTTATAATCTCGGAGTTTGAAAGTAAAGTCTTGGACAAGCAAGATCTATCTTGTCGGCCCTATATTTTTGTCAGGACAGAAGCTTCTGGGAGCCTGGGTGAGCAGGTCAATATGAATAAAGAAATCAGCCAAATTCACTATGCACCACAGTGGGGGCTTCAGTGACTAAAGTCAGCCAAAGTTGACACCAAAGACTTTTGTCCTTTTTCCACTTATTCTTGGTACTAGAGACAAAAGGATCTGTGGTTGCAGTTTCCTGTTAGAAATCCAGTTTAGATAATCTAAGAAATAGAATTACAAAGAATTACACAGAAAATGACATACATTCACACTATTTTGTTTTGCCTCTCCTTATCCCAGCAACACCCAGAGCAGCAGCTCTAAAGACAGTTTCTCTAGGAGTGGAGGATGGGTGAGGAACACTGAGAACCTAGGTAACACTGGCTAATCTTTGATATCCATTATTCTTCTCTTATGTTAAATGCAATTAACAGACATCACCAAATATTTGTCAGGACTAAACAGGGCCTTTTTGGTAAGGTCATTTCAATATGATGAGTCACTTTAGGCAAGCCTTAAGTCTCTTCCCACACACCAGCAGATTTTCTAGTATAGGGAAAAGCTAAGTTCCATTTGTTCTAGGTGGAAGCCAACTCTGTAAGCTGCAAAAAAAAAAAAAAAAAAACAAAAACAAAAACAAAAACAAAAACAACAAAAAAAACCCCAAACAAACAAACAAAAAAAAAAACCCTCTTTATTCTAGATATGGCCAACTTGATACACAGATGCTTATTTCTACCACTAATCCCCAGCAAATTCTGAGGAAAGCATATTGAGAAGATGTCATCTAAAACACAATGACCTTGCTCTGATGTAAGGTCCTGCTATAGTTCAAGGCCTTGTGACCTTCCCCTGATTAGCATCATCATCCTAGGACTCTTAAAAATTATACTTTAAACTCACTTATCTTTAGTTGGGGGAAGAAACATTAATTAATGAAAGAAAATTAGAAACTTAGTAGAGAAGCAATCAGGGAATATATGGTGCTTTGTAATAAAATTAAGGGCAGGAAGGAGGTACATATGTTTAGCAGATAACTTCGTAAAGTCATCCTTTATGATAAGAAATATGGATTTATTATGTAGATTATATTGGGACTTGAAATAATTCTTTTGGTGATATGTTTGATTTTAAGGTACCTTAGGAGATAAATGGTCATATCCTAGAGTGTAAGACCTCTATTATTTGTCATCCTGCCTTTAACGCCTTTGGAATGTAGTCAGGAAAGACTCAGACCAGATACTATTCTTGGGCTCTGCAGGAGGTAACTGATATTTGCTCCTGGAATCTGGGTAACCTGGAAATTGATAGGAAGAAGAAAAGTCTGCTGACAGTTGAACCCTGCTGATTTTGGTGGGGAGAGATGGCAGACCCCAGGGAAAAGGGAAAGGATGGTAACAGAGAGGAAGGGGCTAGATGAGGAGAGCCATAACATGGAGAAATGGAAAGGTTAGTGAAGAAAGCTTAATAGCATATTCTCCACAGTGTTGCATGAGAGCTCAGAGCCCTTACTCTAGCCCTGAAGCATAATATCTGACCCTCCCTGCTTTGCAGCTTAAAACAATTATCTGGATTCTTTTAATATGTAAGCACTTTATTGAGTTTAGTGTTTAGTTGCTTTGTAGAAAGGCAAGTGAGGCAGTGCCAGAACAGATCCACTAGTAGATCCCTGAGAGATAGCGTAAAGGTAACATATAGGGGTCTATGTGCATCAGGTAATACTGTAATGAAAGAAACAGCAAAAGCCACTCCATCAATTTTGAAGATGATATAAAGTATATACCTCTGGGAAAGCAGGACCAAAAGCTGTAGGAAGTAAACTAGAATGAAAGATTCCTAAGAGATATGGTCTTTGGCTGGAAGGCAGCGTTCAAATTCTCACGAATGCCCAGGTTAAGTATTGGACTTGCAGCTGCAACAAAAAGGAGCAAGCTCAGGAATGTTTCTTTAAACTTTGTTAAAGTACCAGGTGAAATCAAAGACAGTCCCATTCATAAAGGCATTCCTAGCTACAAATTGTCCCTGGTTATATGTTAAAATTGTTATTTTGATTTACTCTTCCAGAAAGGACATGTAAGGTCACAGAAAGCCTATGGGACACCTAAGAATAGATAAGTAAGCCACAATTGGAGTAAGTTGCCCTGCACAAACAAAATTTTCCACTTGCAAACTGATAAAACACACACACACACGCACACACGTACACATGCATGCACACACACACACACAAATGACACGAACCTGTGCCTAAAGGTGTCTTTTTTACTTTTTATTGAACTCCATAAGTATCTTCATAAGGCTTTGTGTCATTACAACATCTTTTTTTTGTTGTTAAACAGTTTTTAAAACAGACAACTCTTACACTTGTTTAAGAGGGTCAAACAGTCAAACAGTAGAAACAAAGAATAAATTGCCAAATGCAGAGCAGTAGGGGTAATCAAAATCACTGTTGCCCATCTATCAATCCCAGCCCACCCGACCCCAAAGTACTAAAAAATATCACTATCTGGCTTCACATTAGAATTGTCAGAACTCTCTTGTTGGTATCCTTAATAGATATATTAAAGATATAGACATACAGAGAGAAAAAGGAGAGAGAGAAAAAAGTTTTATTTCTGTGTTAGGACTTCCTCATAGTGGGCCCCCATAGAACATACTACCAATTTGAAGAGCGAATCCAGGCCTCAATGAATCAAGGAAAAGGGAGTTCAGGACCATGTAGAAACAGAATTATAAAATTCTTGAGGACAGCATTGCTATGCGGACAAAATATGTTTAGATACTGAGCCCAGGTAATTAATAGATTCCCTGGCTCCCTTTTGGGCTACTGACTACCGGTCTGCTTTTCTACTATGTAGGGGCATTCCAATCAATGGAGAGCTAAATTCTTATTTTCACAAGTTATTGGCATTTCATCAGGTCATTGGGTTATATAAAGGAGAAGGGGGGAGTGATATCCCTGGATCCTGGAGCCCCAGGGGTAAAGATCCCAGGAAGGGGAAGTAGATGAGAAGACCTGGATAAGAGATGCTTTAAGCCCAAGGACTTATTCAAGTGTCCCCTCCTGTGTGCCTCCAAACCTAGGGAAACGAAAAAGCCAAACTGAATGGAATAGTAGAAAGTAGGAAAAAGAATATAATAGAGAGGCCTGCATAGAAACTGTAACACACTCTGTTTGACAGGGAGTACATTTTAGCCTGCATAATTGGGGACAAAGTTCCTTATCCAGGAGGTTTAAGTAGCTAGGTTGAAGTAGCTAGGTTACGTGCTAGACAGTGGTGGGCAGACCTGAGCCTTAGTTCTCTACTCAGATCAGGCTTGTCCTTGCCTTAGCTCTATAATTCTGATTTGTTGTGGTAGAATTGAAACTTCAAAAGCTTGTAATTTGATTCCCACAGGAGAAAGCGTGCCAGGGTAGGGAAGGCTTGGTCTGGGTCAGGAAGCACAAAGCAGTAACCAAACCAGATATGCTGAAGCCTTCATGGGACTATGGTGACTGCTTGGTAAACTGGGGTCCTTTCATGCTGATATCTTCTTCCATAGGATTCAGGACAGAGTCATAATCTTGATTCTTGGCTAGAGTGGCTTTCCATAGCAGGGCCCATCCTCACACTTTTATATCAAATTTCTTGCTATTCAGGGTCTAACCAAACAAAGGGCCATGCAGAGACGATAAACAAGTATTCTTGTACTCATTGGGATCTTGATTCTTTGTGGGAAAAATTAGTGGAAAGCCTGCCCAAAATAATCCTGAGTATAGCATCTCTGCCCCAGATCCTTTGTCTAGAGGAAAATGTGCCCCGGGGCCCAACACTTACTGGCCACAAATGTTTTTGAATAGGTGGATTTTAGAAATAAAGCCATCTTCCAGTGCAAGAGCTGCTTTAACTATGCCAATATCAGCATTTCTCCTGTGGCAGGAGAGCAAGAGAAAGAAGATGACAGAGAAAAAGAAAGGAAGGGTCCAGGGAAGATTGTCCATGCAATCTGCTCACAATAGAGATGATTCACACAATTAGAGTGGTAGAAACTGCAGGTACAGTAACTTAGATCAAGGCTGCCTTTTCCCACACCTATTTTACTGTCACTGTTGGACTTTGTCCAGGTCAATAATTTGAAGGCAGCTGATGATCTTGGTCAGGTGGGTTCTGTTCTGAACCTCTCAATAGACTCCTATCAACGCTGCCTTAAAAGTCTGCAAATGAGGGCAGAGGTGACTAGAACACTGAACTGCTTGCTGTAGGGAGCCCTGCCTTATGTCTGCTTGGTACTTGGGGAAGGGCCAGAGATAAACTTCTTCCATAGAAGTCAGAGTCTCAGCCTCTGCTTCCAATTTAGACCTTCTGATAGGCTAAGGAAGGCAGGCCTAAGAGGAGATTAATAACAAGAAGAGTCTGAAGAGAGTAATTGGCTCAAACTAACACCCAGATGCAAAACTTCAATGACCCAAAAATGCTGCAACATGAGACTCCCAAGTGTTAGAAGAAATACTCCAAATGAAAACAGTTCCTGAACAGAACTCTTTTATCATCATAATACTCTGACACTCCTTTGTTTCTGTTTGGTTTGATATCCTTCCTCAACACCTAAAATACAGGGAAAGCAATAGAAATACTAAGCAGTTATGTCACATGGCATTAAGGAACATGTCCTGACTAGCAGGACTGTAGACAGAGGATGCCACATAAAAGCTGCTTTAGGGAAACTGAAGGGCTACAGGAACATTCACACATGATTGGCTGAAAGAGAGGAGATGAGGATCCTCCCTTTCCTCAGTGAAAAGTAAAACCCCAAACCTATCACATCAAATTAAAATCAAAATCATCTGCATCTCTATTATCATGAAAGAAGAAAACCAATACAAATGCACCTAGATAATAATGAAAAGTTAATGAATCATTCACAGAGGAGCTAAGAGAGTATTTTAACAAGAAAAGAAACAATAGAAATGTCAACTTCTGAAAGAAAAGGGATAGGGAACAGGGCAGGAACTGAAAAGTTTTAAGAAGGGGTCACCTTTGGAAGTCATTGGTACCTTTTTCTACCACTTAAAGATTTCACAACCCAAAAACAACAGAAAACGTTTTTGGTCCTTGTGTGTGTGTGTGTGTGTGTGTGTGTGTGGTATGTGTACCTGTGTACATGCATGCCCACACAAGCGTGTATATGTGTGTATACTCAAAGGTCTGTGTGTATACATATGTCTACATATATCTATATATATATATATGTATATACACACACACATATATATTTTCAACAGTGTTTCTCCGAAAAAATTCCATCTATAAATATAATTTTATTTAGTTTATTTTAAAATTATCTGCCTCCCTGTAGGTATTATTTTTTGAATGGGGTTAACCTGCTGAAGTTTTGCCAGAATGGTGACTGGCTACGCTTGGGTTCAGTGAACTCAAAGACTTGAGACTGAGCGATGCCATCGGGGACCAGGTACTGGCCTTGGTTTAACGGGTCCTGTGGTGGTGGGTAAGAAGGAGGAACTGAGCGAGCAGAGTTGACACCTGTAAAAAGGAGACCAAAGAGAAAGGATATAAGTTAAGTACCAAGAGGGTTTTCAAAACATTTAGTGAACTTCTAGGTAGAAAATTCAAGACAGACTGGTTTAGAGTTTGAGCTGGTGTAGATTGAGCATTTCTCATAGGCATATCGAAAGGCCCTGAAAGAAAAACTTCCTTAGATTAAAAAAGTTTCATATTTCCAAACACTTCATAATTCAGCATTTTGACTTAGGGATGTTCAATCAGGAAAATCTACGCAAATATATCCAAATCTGAGAAACCCCGAAATTTGAAGTTCTAAGCAATTCAGATAAGGGATGTTCAAATCTATATTGCAAACCATTTTTCTCTAACAGATTTTGAAGTGGCATGGCTCTTACTGAAATGTCACACTCTTTTCCACCTAATCAGTATTACTTGGAAATTTAGGATGTTTTTTATCAGCTGTTTCACAGATGAGGATACTGAGACCTAGAGATAAAAGTCATATCTCAGGTTCCATGGTAAGTTAGTGACAAAGCAAGAGCTAGAACCCACATTCAATGACTTTTCAATCAAAGCTCTTTCAAAGAAAGCATAATTCTTTAGGCTGATTTTGGTTCTGCAAATAACTCAACAAGCTCCATTTAATTTCAAAAGTGTTTGGTTTTCTCCCTCTCCCACAACCCTAGAAGTGTCAAGAATCTGGTGAGGTGGTGAAGAACTATTGATTTCAGGGCAAGTCTTTTTTTTTTTTTTTTTGTCTTTTTTGAGACAGGGTCTCGCTAATACAGTTCAGGCTGGCCTTGAGCTCACTTTGTAGCCCAGGCTGGTCTGGGACTCACAGCAATCCTCCCACCTCAGCCTCCTGAGTGCTGGGATTACAGGCAAGAGCCACCATGCCAGGCTGATTTCAGGGCAAGTCTTAAGGTGGAAACCTTTTTTTTTAAGCATATAAGGCACAAGTGATTTAATGTTCTGCATTATATGAAGAGTGATAAATCTATAATTATTAAGGAATTGTCATTGGTAGTTGAAGAAGAAAGCAAATACATCAGCAGAATACATGATTCATGAAATTTGGGACCTTTCAAGGAGAACAGCTCCAATAACATTAAGATTAAAAACTTCTTTGACTTTTTGGCTGGTTTGAAGTCATTAAGAGAGAATTGCAGGAACCAGGATACAGGTGAGGGCTGAGGTCAAAGTTCATTTTTGATCTATATTCAAAGTAGAATAGGATGAGACATACAACATGTGATTCAGATATGAAAAAAGGTCTCTCTGATGCTTCTAAATACTTTTCTCATCTGCCAGCCAATGTCTGAAATTCCAACATTAGAGCTTCTTTGCTTTTCATGGTTTGATCCAATTATGCTGGAGGCAATATTGTATGAAGCCATTATCAGCCATTGGCACCTTAGTGAGAAGGATCTGATTCTTTTTTTTTTTTAATTTTATTTTTATTTTATTTTTTATTTAAAGAAAAGGGAACGAAAAAAATACATGGAGCTAAAAAAAAGGGGTGGAAATAATACAAAATTACAGACAAACAAAAGGTAAGAAATTGCCGGTTGATAAGTTACACATTGTCATCTTCGAAATAGGTGTTCAGGTTATAGAATTAAAGTATTTAGAATGACATTCAAAACGTGACCCTACAAACCATTCTGCTCTATGATCGAACAAAAGCTCAGTAATATGATTATCAGTCCTACACATTTGTTTTACATCTCAAAGAGGGTAAGATTAAACATATCAAAACAGAACAGAACATTAAAAAAAAAAAAAAAACAATTTAAAGAAATACAGATTTCAAAGCAAGTCCACTGGAGATCTTCATTATCTAACTGTCTCTAGCTTCTTACAAATAGTTGTCCCTATCTTCACCCACTTTATATACTTATTGCATATTATAGAACTAATCAAATCATTACAGGATGATGAAGTCTTTTTAGGTCCTCAAGTTCCAAATTAGGGAAGATAATAGCAACTACCATCGCATCTCTTATTCTCTTTGTGATAGCCGTCCCCATCTCTGCATATGCTGAAGTTGAACTGAAGAAACCAGTCTAATGTCATTCTAATCAGCAAACAATAGATTTTCTAAGAGCCAGTTTTGAAAGAGCAAGTATCAGAAAGACGAAAGTATGCCATTTGACAATATGAAGATATAATGGAAGGAGGTCCATGTCATCAATATTTTATTTTGTTCTTTAAGAACACCTCTACCTAACCCTGGATCCTGAGCACATATTCTATAGTTGTACATTCAATACCAAGGTCAATTTTTATTTAGCTTCCATATAGAGTGTGGGTTTAGGTGGAGGATTTTTTTCCTCATGAAAGTCCAATTGCTTCACCATCTCATTTGCTGAAATGGCCTCTTTCTCTACTGAATTGTATTTATGTCTTTGTCAGAAATTAGACGTATTTGTGTAGGACTATTTCTGAGTTCTGTTCCATGATCCAATATGTGGTTCATTCTACCAAAATCACAGTGATTTGGATAGCTACATAATACTGAGATTGCACAAATTGACCCCATTTTCTTTTGCAGAACTATTTCACTAATTATGGGGGATCCATTTAATTTTGAGCTGGCCCTAAAGCTTTTAGAGGTGGAACCTGTGCTCATGGCACTGGGTAGCTCTGTGTTTACAAACTCAATTGGGTTGGTGGACCAGGAATTAGTATCTTAGTTCTAAAATAATTCTTACAGAATTCTTAAAAGTAAGGCAGTGTGAAAGAAAAAGGTAAAGTGAAAAGGCCTTTCATAAAACTACACTGGCTTTTCTCTGCTGTTTTCCCAGCCAGGCATCCTCTCCCCCAGGGTAGCATTCTGAGTTGACTATGTCACATGGTATTTTAGATACGGTTGGAAGGGGACACCAGAGTAACTACCCAACCCACAACATCTGAATTGGAAAAATTTTAACTAAGCCCCTCCCATCATTTCTAGGGGCAGTGGCAGGAATAACTAAACTTCCATGGATGTCTGAAAGAATCTCATCAAGCTCTTTCTATGTAGATGCAATAACAACTGAATTACTGTTTGACAACTACTTCCATGAAATAGGATGTTCTTTAAAATCAGAAACAGAAAAGTGAGTTCTTTATTCCCTACAAGAGTCATTAACAAGACTATGATTTAGAGAGAAGAATGTAGTAGTGAGCCTAGAGTCAAACTGATTTTGATTCACAGTCACTTACCTATGAAGTTTCAGTTTTTTAAGCTTAAAAGTGGGGCTAATATTGCCTATCTTTTTATGATTATCATAAAGATGAAATTAAAGAACATATAAAAGGAGATCAACACTAGATAGACATTGTAGTAAACACAAAGTAACATCTGCTTTTTGTTCAGCTGAGTACTTTAGTTTTGTTCTGGTTCACATAAAAGAGAAAATAATGCTTTATTTTATATTAAATTGACTCACTATGTATTTTACATACTTCAGTTTACGGTTTCAAGAAATATAAAGGCTTTCTAAATCTTCTGTTTTGGTTCAGTTTGAGGCTCTCCGTTCTGATTGGTGTCTTCTGATTTGGCAAGAGGCCTCAAACTAGTGAAACATAGCTGAACATACATATATCTTTATATTTATACTTACTGAATAAATTATACATTTATGGTTTTTTGTCTCTAAATTATTAAAAACATTTCCCTAATTTGAAATAAAGAGAAAAAAATGGTTTTATTTTTTTCTTATACACAATGAGCTATCTTTGGACACAGCTACTCAATACCATTCATTCTTGAGCAGTAAGCCTTTATGACCATTTACTTACTGTTTTCACGAACACCTAGGGAAATGGGAACTATATCCAAGTGAACACTTAGCACAGAAAGGATCCAGGAAGTATAAAAGCACTTATGGCTTCCTAGACTCACATAGAAAGTAAGTGGAGTTGAAGGGATAAAAGCAAGATTTACCTTTTTGTTTTGGAACTTTTCTCACAGTCATTGCAGCCTGCCTCTTCTGGTTTTCAGAAATCTCAAAGCCTAAGAAAAGAAAAATATAGGAATTGGTTAGGATAAACATATACTCGTTCTTAATGTATACATTAGTAGAATTTTTCTGGAAGAAGAACTTCCAGAAAAATAGGAAAAGTTTTGAAATACAAGAAGGTCATTTTTCTTGAACCAATAATCTTTTTCTAGGAATTTCACTAAAGAAATTAATTGGAAACTCAGATAAAATCTTAGCTATATTACCTTTGCATATATTATCACTAGTGGGATTGCTGGACCAGAGGCAGTTTGAATTTCAGTTTTTTGAGGAACTTCCATAACATTTTCCATAAAGGCAATACTGATTTATAATCCTACCAATAGTGTGTAAGAATTCTTTTTCATGTGGATTTTATATACACTGGTGTACTATACTACCATAAAGAAGAATAAGCTTGAGACATTTTAAGGTAAATGGATGTACCTTGAGAATATTAAGTGAAATAAATAAGAAACATGTTTAAATATTGCTTTGTTTCTCTTGTGTGAGAAACTAAAAGGGTAAATAATGACCAAAATGGATGATCAATATTGGCCAGTATGAAAAAAATGTTCACATGGGAAGGGGTACAATGGAAGGAGTAGGGGAAAAAGAGGGGAGGGACTAAAAAACAGAATGGAAGCACAACAATAGAAACAAAGTTTTATGAATGGAAAGAGGAGGAAGAATCGAAGGGAAGAAAACCAAATGAGCGAGAAAAAAAAAAAAAAAACAAGAATTAAGATGCGTCCTGTACAAGATTAATGCCCTATAATGAATGTGATCATTATTTATGTAAAAAGTGTAAAAATAAAATACATTTTAAAAAGAATTCTTTTTCTCTACAATCTTGACAGCATTTATTATTTTTCTTTAGATAACAACCATTCAAATTGGGTTGAGTGATACTTCATTGTCATTCTGATTTACATTTCCCTAATTATTAGTGATGTAAAACATACTTCTATGTTTACAGGTCATTTGAAGGTTTCATTTTGAGAAACATCTGTTTGGATGATTAGTCCATTTTTAATTGGATTTTTAATACATTTGAATAAAACATATATTCTGGATATAAATGCCTTGTCAGATGTAGAGTTGGCAAATATTATCACCCATTTGCCTGGCTCTGTTGATTGTTTCTCTTGAAATGCACATGTTTTGGGTTTATGTCAAAGAGACTCTAGTATTCTGTTTATTGCACCATTATTCACAATAACCAGCATATGGAATCAACCTAAATGTCTACCAATGAATGAATGGATAAACAAAATTTAACCTCTATATAATGGAATCCTACTCAGCTATTTAAGAAAGGATAAAATCTGGTTATTTTTGACAAATGGCTAAACCTGGAAGACCTTATATTAAGTAAAAATAATTCAGGCATGAAAAGACAAATATTGTATGATTTCATTTATATCTAAAAAGTTGACCTCATAGAAGATGAGAGTAGAAAAAAGGTTACTAGACAGTGGGAAGAGTAAAGAGAGAGGATGTGGAGAGCTTGTTCAGTGAGTACAATGTTACAATTAGAAAGAATAAATCTTTGTGTTCTATGCCATAGTATGGTGAATAGTGTTCACAATAATGCAATATGTGTCAACATAGAAGAGAGAATTTTAAAAGTATTCATCATAAATAATAAAGTGATGAATATAATGGTCACAGATAGGTGATCATCACTCAAATAAACATGAATCAAATGTCATATCATGCTTCATAAATATGTACAAATATTATGTCAGTGAAAATAAAACTAAAATCAAAACTTAGCTACTAAGATGCAGATAACAGAATACAGGACAAAAAGGTGATAATATAGGTTAAGAGAGGCTATAAGTTAAATAGAGAATTTTTAAATAAAGTATCATTAGAATTCTCAGATCAAACACTTGAAATAAGTTTCTTTAACAATTCGTGAATCAAGTGGTGAAATAACAAATTATGTAAAAATGAACTTAAAATGAAACCTTATAAGGTACAGTTAAGATTTAGAAATTTGTGCCATGCTCTTGAGTTTGAGCCTTCCTAAAAACTTCCATTTTTGACTGCTGGACTTCAGAACTGACTTAGTATCTGTTATTACATAAGCCAATTTCTTATTTTTTAAGAAAGTCTCTTAGTAAACATTTCCTAGTGGTTATGCTTCTTGAAAGAAGCCTGACTAACGCAAAGAGTTAGAGTTAGAACCTATAATCTTTACCTGGAGACTTCATTTAAAATAAGTTTATTTTTAAAAGTTCCAGACCAGCAACAATTTTATAAATAAATGTGCATATGTGTTTGTATGAATATGGGATAAGTATGGAAAGAGTTACCCCAAACTGTTAGTACTCATTATTTCACAGAGAATTAGGAGTGATAGAGAAGGGGAAAGAATGCTAAATGTTCTTTATATGTTTCTACATGACTCTAAATGGTTATTACAGAGAGCCATTGAAGCTGGAGATTGATCATATGTGCAGGGCTAAAGCAAGGCCAGCCCTGACAACACAGAGAGCACAAAACAAGCCATGTAAACAAGCTGTTCAAGTTCCAAGAAGGCAAAGGGCCCAGGTCAGCTAGTCAAACAAGTTACTAGGCAGAGGGTTGAAATTGACACTGTTCTTCAGGAGTATATGGAGTATATAAATAAATGTGCTACAGTGGTTTAGCATTCCTTCTCTCCCATCAGGAAACTCCAGCTTTTGTCTTTTCTTTATTTTCTTATCCTCTCATAGTCCTTCACCCCGAGAACCTCAAGAGCCATCATGGCAAGTTTATGATGGCTGTGTACTAATTTTATAATTAAAAAGTAAAAATTAAACAATAAAATTATAGTAAATCAATAACAGTCATAAAATGATTAAACACTAAATTGATGAAGATGCTACTGATATAATATGTAGTAAAAATGAGACTACAGAATTGTATTATGGACCACAGAGTAACAAATAGGTTGAGAAACAATAAGATCTACTTTTTTAAAAAAAAATTAAACATAGAAAACAAAGATTAGAAAGAAATATATCAAAATGTTTAGAAAAGTTTACTATGTTGTTTTATCTTTACTTTTTTCTTGTGTTTTTCTGTTTTTCATTCTCCCAAAAATCCTACAATGAAATTGACTTACTATCATATAATTGGATTGAAAATCCCCCCACAAAACTCTCATTTTTAAAAAAGACATGCACAGGCCAATCAGGAGGTAATTTCTGGAAGTTTTTATATTAGAAACAGATTTTTTTGTTCACATTTTATTAGGGCAACAGGTTGGGAAACATAGTGTTGGACCCAGAGAAAATGGCAGGAGACTTCTAATTGAGTTAATGTCTGTACCCAAAGATCATTCCTTTGATATAATATCGAAAACTGGGTTGATTCCTGCTGATATCTATCATGGGAAGTAATAGCTAGCAACATTTCTATACCATTCCACACCATGTCTAAATGTAGTGCCCATATGCTAAAAGCAATTTGACTATAATGCGACTCAAATGGAATTTTCAGTGTGTACTCTGGAAGAGAAGACTAGGATCAAAGTGTCTTTCTGCAGTTTTTTTCTGGACTATTTAAATCCCCAACATGGATATACAGAAGAATACTTCTGCACAGGGAATCAGTGGGTATTTTTGTAGAGGCATCAAAACAACTTGTAACAACTTGTACATATTAGCATCTTAAGATAAAATTTCATTCTTGTCAGGATAAAGCAAACACAGAAACTGCATATCCTCTCAGAGAATCACAAAGGTTTAATTGATATTTTTTATGAAAAAAAACAGGACCATGAACAAGAGACATGAAAGCACTTTATAAACAACAAAGCTCAGCTAATGGCAATCTAAATCTCACAGTTTAGAAACAAGATGAAAAATACTTCCACTAACTATGTCATCCAGTGAAAGATAAATATTCTGTTTCCAGCCAATATGTATGTTTTATTGTGAATGTAAATCACACACATGGCCATGGTATTATGTATTGCTATGTTTCTGTAGTTTACATTAAAATAGTTTCCACACAATATATGCATATCATTTTAATCTAGTCTAGAGACATTAAGATAATATCTACAGTATGCTAATTATGTACACGTACTGCAAAGATGATTTGTTAATATATTAAATAATCAAAAGCCTTCACTCCAGAGGTCAATACTACCAGAAGTTGAGCCATTAGCCTACCACATGTTAGGCATGCAATCTTCTTGGTAAAATGAATGTTATTAAATATGTGTACTAGCCAATATTTCATCGGCACATCAACTTTCCCAAGAACTTGGTATAACAATAGTGATCCTCAGAGCCTGTCATCTTCAGAGAGAAGTCTGAACCTTGAGATTAAAAACAAATCCTATTTCTTGATACTTATCAGTATTGTGATGCCAGACTCTGACTAGAAAGTTGGATAAGGCCCAAGGATGTAGTACAGTGGTAGAGCACCTGCCAGCATTCATAAGACACTTGATTCAGTAACACCAGTACTATTGAAAGAAATGCAAAAAGTCAGGAGATAAGGAAAGTTGATTGAATCTTAGCTGTATAATTCTACCAAATCAGCCCAATTAACCCTTATACAGAAGATATTATTATATATCTAAATATAGAAAGCTGAGGCACGATAGAGACTCCAGAACAGGATATACAACTACTTTTTTGTTTGTAGGCTAATAAATATTTGTGAGAATCAAATCTGAAGTGGGCTTTTAGTGCAATACTCTTTCATGGCAATGAGATTTTATGGGAGTCCAAACTATACTTCTACCTATCCCTGATTAATGGAAGTGACTGGTATTTTAAAAAAAGAACCTAATAATAAGGAACCACCAAAGTGGCTCAAGTCACTTTACAAACGAAATTTTCCCTCTGAATCCAGAATAATAAAAACTAAGTCCAATCTCTCTACATATTTCACAGTCATATTCTTCTTTTTCCTCTCAGGTCACTTACCAATTTTTTCATCTTCCTGTACCATTTTCCTCTCTTCTCTGAAAGCCCTGAGCCAGCGTATTTTCTCCTCCAGCTTTTTGGCAAAGAACAGATGTACTTCTTCTGTTTCCTTGTTGTGAAGCTTAAAAGCATTCTTCATGCTTACATTAAAGTCATCATCTCTGCCATCTTCAATATCAATTACCTCATACTTATCCATGTCGATGCGACCTTTGTAGTACAGGATGTCCCTCCGGATTAGGTCCTAGGTGAGAAGGAAGAGGAGGTATGTGCCAAGTGGGTACTAGAAGAGCTGGCATAAGGGCTGAAGCAGGATATCAACACCATCATTATTTTGGAGTACACATAGGGCTTGTTAAGTTCCAAATTTAGGCAAATTAGATTACTGCCCTAAGAGATGCACCACACTTAAAGACTATACCAAACCCCAGCATCAAATCTTGGATGTGTTTACAAGATTTTTGATGGGAAACACAAAACAGTATGCCACAAAAGTACTTGTAGCAGGGACTTTTCCTCTTCTATAACACTAGCAACCCTACTAGAAGCATCAAATGAGCTGACTGATAGTTTGAAATGTAGTGAACACCCCAGACAAGACAGTGGGACCACAATATTAGAGAAGGGATTAAGTGTAAGAGTAGCTGAGAAGCCACAGTCTACTAGCCAGGGAAGATTACTGGAGGTAGTTCTAACACTTAGTACTTGGGAAATTTAGAATAGGCCTACTGTGGCAAGAAAAGACAGGCTAATGCTATAGTGAATGAACAAGATGTCTACATATCAAAATAGATGAATCTCAAAAATACTATGTGAGAAAAATAAAATTATAGATGGTACAAACAATGTATTGCTTTTTTGTTACTGTTGTTTTGCTCTATGTAAACAGAAATGGATAGGACCAAACTCCAGTCAAAGAAACACTCATTGCTAGTCCATGAATACTGCATTATTTCTCTATTTACTTATTTGCATTTTTAATAATGTAAGAAAACTTTTAAACCTGCTATTGAATCCAAATGTTAAGATCCCAAAGCTTGCTCCATCCTAAATCTCGTTTATCATTCTTCTGGTTTCCTTTTTGTACAATAATATCTGACTTAAATCTACTTCACCTAAAAACATATAAAGCAATGGCATATAATTTTTAAAGATGCATATGCACAGAAATTATTAGGAATTAGGTGACAATGATGTGTACTACATTCAAAAGAATACCACACAGAAAATGGGAAGTAGTCAGTGAGGAAGGAAAGGAAGAGAAGGGAAAAAAAAGGAGAAAAATGCATTTGTAATGAATTAATTCTTAAGTTAGTAAGTAGATGAATGTACATTAGCCTTATATTTTCATGAATATCAAATACAGTGTTTCATATTTTGTAAGATAAAAAAGAAAACAAAGACATATGGGCCTATGGGATATGAGCTTTAATAAATCTCCTAGAGTGGCCTCTTTAGTTCCTCCTTCTATCATTGCTTGCACCCATCCTCTTCTGAGAGAATATCTATGGCTAGGACATGTGATATGGCTGAGGGTGGTCCCTGTGAACTCTGTCCTGACAGATGCTATCTTAGTAGCTGGGTTGCTTTCTGGCCAGGTTTCCCTCCTCCTTGTTTGTATCTGGCCCTTCAGTCAGTTGGACAGAGTCAGAAACACTGATTTTTATTAACATACAAGGCAAGATCACAATATATAGCAAATATTAAAAATTTAAAAAATATATTCTAGTAATAGACAAATTGCCATTAATTTCCCCCTCAAAATAGTCCCTTTCACTTTGATCACACTATCACCTTGTCCTTGTCACTTTCTTAAATATTTCTGTAAGTTCTCTTTTGTAAGTTTTACCAGGTGTGGTGAATACTGCTACTGAGTGCATCCAATGAAACACAGGCTTGTATAAATGTTAGTGTCTTCATCCATCTTATTCACTGGATCTGGTATAATATGACTTCTGGCTTTTTCCCAAAGTCAAAATGACAAGGAAAGATAAAGGTATGAACTGAATCAGGACATTAAGAAAACATGATTCTGTAACTAGATATTTGTGAAAGAGGAAATTCAGAGCTGCTTCAGAAAGTGGCAAAAATCATGGAATACATGTATTCAAAGCAAGGGGAAGTATATTGAAGGGATTAATGGAAAGGTTTCTTTTAGTATAATTTTTTTTCTAAATTTAAACAACTGATAATAGCTTATATGTTGCATTGTAAATGTGTATGTACATACATACTTACCCTAGGAAAGAGGTGGCTGATTTTCTTTAGGTTTTTTTTTTACTAATTGTTTCCTAATTTCTCACAAGTAGCTACCACAAATATTGGTGTTAAATATAGAAGTAGTGATCAAAATACCTGGTAAATATTTAAATTTTTAAAAAATTGTCACAGTAAGAGATATAACCCTCTCAAAATACTACGCCCCCTTTTTTAAAACACACTTAAGCCATCATTCCTGCTACTTCTTGAAGCAGTTTTAAAAGTCTGCTTTGAGTAGTGTCTTGAATGCTGTTGCCAAGTGCTATTTAAAAGGAAATACAGGGTTGTAAATACATGGTTTATCTTCATTCACTTCATCCACTGGATCTGGTAATATATGACTTCTCGTCCCCAAAGTAAAAATGATTATGAAAGGTAAATGTTTTGAACTGATTCAGGATGTTGAGGCAGCTATGACATTGCAACTAAAGACACTCAAAAAAGAGTTTCTCCACAATTGCCTCAAAAAGTAGCAAGAACAATGAGATACTTATGTTCAAAGTGAGGGGGAGTATTTTCAGGTGGAAATGCCATGTGTCTTTTACTGTAATTTTCTTTAAAAATCTAAATTTTAATCTTATTTTTCCAATTACACTTCAGAATACATATTTTAAAGTTTTTATTTTAAAGAGAAAAAGTAAAACAAAATTTCATAACCAGATAATAGGAAAGTAACAATAGTTAGCACATTGCATAAAATTATCTTGAAAATAGTAATTTGGTTTACAAGATACAGGCATGAAAATATGTCCAAAAATATTAGCACAAATCTTTCTTTTCAATGAATGAAAAGAAATTAGTAATATAACTATCTTTTAACTATCTTGTGTGTATGTATGTGTATATAGATAGATTGATAGATAGATAGTTTTTTCCTTTTTTCTTTCCTTCTTTTCTCCTTTCCTCCATGCCAGAGTCTATTTACTTTTGAACATTTTCTTCTCATTTCACAATATGTATTGTACATTTTGGATATTATTTAGTATCTTGGTTTTTACAGTACGGAAACAATGTGATGTTTACACATGTGATTTTTAATTTTTTCACTTATGAATATGATCTCTAGTGCAATCATTTACCAACAGAAGTCTCAAGTTTACCCTTCTTTATGGCTGAGTCATACCTCATTGTATTAAGTGACCACATCTTTTTTTTAGCCATTCCTCAGTTGATGGGCATTTGGGTTATTTCCAAGATCTGGCTATTACAAATTGTGCTGCTATAAACATGGGTGGACATATATCACTATGGCATGATGCTGTTAATTCTTCTGGGAAGATACACAGAAGGAGAATAGCCAAGTTGAATGGAACATCTAATCTCAGGTTTTTGAGCAATCTCCATATTAATTTTCACAGTGGTTGCACCAATCTGAATTCCCACCAAAATGGAGAAGCATTCCTTTTGCCTTACAACCCCTTCAGCATTTGTTATTGATTGATGACAGCCATTCATTAAGGAGAAGGAATCTCAGTGTTGTATTAATTTTCATCTCTCAAATAACAAATGAAGTTGAATATTTTTTATGTATTTATTTACCATTTGTATGTCTACATCTAAGAAGTGTATATTCATTTCAGTTGCCCATTTTTCATTGGCTGTGTTTGGACAATCTGAATTTTTCCAGTTCTTTATGTTTTAGATATAACTCCTTTGAGGGGCAACTGGTTATAATTTTTCCCACTCTGTAGGTTGTACTATCACCCTGTTGGTGATTTCCTTTGTTGTGCAAAAACTTTTTAATAAAGTGAAATTCCATTTGTTGATTCCTTGTAGTATTTCTTGTGCAGTGTGGGTTTTGTTCATGAGGTCTTTGCCTACATCTAGGTCTTCAATATTTCTATATTTCAACATATAGAAAGCCAGTTTTTCCACTACTGTTTCAAAAATTCTATATATCTTCTCTTCCTGTATATTTAGTATTCCTATTTCAGTATTTAAGTCTTTGATCCCAAAAAGTGAATGAGCCATTTGCGGAATGTGGGGAGTGAGAACAAGGCCACATCAAGAAGCAAGCCCCATCTGGAACCAGCACCACATGTGGGCTGTCACTGGTCTTGGGACAGCCATACCTCAGACCCTTCAGGTATGTGGGCTGACAAACAAGAAGCACCAGTCCCCCCACCTTAAGTGACCAGCTGATCTGAAGAAACACAGGCTGTGATGATAGCTGTGGAGGTGAAATATAACTGGATACCTGTAGTGGTTTGGTGTTTTCATTGACCTTGCAGGTCTATGGCCAGGGGTCTGATCATCAGTTCAGGGGATAGCAGTACAGTGTGGCATCTGGGGTGGGGAGGGTCTCCTTCTGAAGATTGTAGGCATTGTTGATTTCCTATTGTCATGTTTTTTAGTCTTACACTATTTTCATTGTTTTGTTTGGCTGGGTTTTATTCTCTTTTGTTTCATTATGTTAAATTCAATGGCATGAGCAGCTATTTCAAAGGTAGCAATATATATTATGGCAGCAATTTTGGATTTACTATTGGCTTGTTTTGAAGTCTTTTATTGTATTCATTGTTTTGTTTTTATTGTTTCTATTCTGTTCTGTTCTGTTTGATTTTTACTATGTCTGAAGTTATCTTATTCATTGTTTTGTTTTTATTGTTTCTACTCTATTCTGTTCTGAGTGATTTTTACTATGTCCAAAGGTATTTGAAACATTTTGTAGACAACAAAAGGCTTTATGGTAACTATTTTGACTTCATAATGTTTTGAAGTCCTGTATCACTTATACTTGTTTGTTTTGATTGGTTTTATTATACTTATTTTTATCTTTTTTAAAATAAAAAAGTGCATGATGATAGACATGAGTCTAGTTTTAGTCTTCAACATATAGAAAGCCAGTTTTTCCACTACTGTTTATTATAGGGGCTGTGTTTCTTCCAGTGAACATGCTTAGGAACTTTGTGAAAGATAAAGTGGATGTGTGTTTGGAATTCTGTCTGTATCTTCCACTAATCCCCAGGTCTGCTTTGTTACCAA